CAAAGAACATTCTGCAATGAGGGAAATGTTCTCAAATCTGTGTCCCCGGCACAGTAGCCCCGAAAACCCACATGGGCTCTTGGACACTTGGGATGTGGCTAGTGCACCTGAGGAACTGAATTTTTATTTAATTTTAATGAATTTAAATGGCACATGGAGCCAGTGGCTCTCTTATTGGCCAGTTCAGGTCTAGAGAAACCTTCTTGGTGGAGGTAACTGGTGAATTGGGCCTAGAAGGATAGGTGGGATTTTGGCCAGTGGAAGGCGAAGGGGAGGAGCAAGGAACAGCACAAGCCAAGGCACAGAGGCAGGGAAAGGGCATATTTGGGAAACAGCAAGTGGGTGGGCAGAGTGTGGGCTGTGTGATGTAAGTGCTGCAGGTTGTGGGGGCCTTGAATGCCATGCAAGGAGCGTAGATTGTAGTCAGCAGGTAGTCACAGGTCTACTGTGTAGTATTGAGGCTTTTGGGCTGCAGATGGAAGGGCAGGCCAGGATCAGAAGAGACATCCATCTTGATCTTGTAGCCTTTGCCTGGATACGGTCTCGCTGGTCTTGGGGTCAATGTTTATGTGGCAGAAAATATGCAGTGTCCTCCCAATATGTGGCTTTACAGATGGCTTCTTAGGGATCCCGGCTTCTCTGATTCTGAGTACAGGGACTCAGGTGGTAATGTCCTGTTTGAGGGAAGCCACATAACCTCCCCACCTCCCACCAGCACTGGATTCTATGACAAATCACGCCACAGAACGCTGAACTTTGAGTTAAAACCAGTCAGGCAGGCGTGGCATTCCCACCTGCACCTGTGGGAGTTGCTGCTCTCGGGTGGAGGATCACGACTTAGCATCTCACGTCAGTTCTGTGAGCTGGAAAGTCAGATTCACGGCACGTCTTACAATCGTGCTCTTCAGAGACAGGAGTGTGACGTACACCAGGATGTTCAATTTACAGATTTATAAAAGGACTTGTCCTTTCAACGCAGATCCTACTGCTACAGGACCTAGTGGTCCTGATGTTTTCTGGCAACTTACTGGTATCAGAGTCACTGGAAAATGTAATTAAAGTTAGAAGCTTGCTTGACGAACACGGGATAAGTGCTGAGAGTCAGGTGTCCTTAAGAGGTGTTTTCATCAGGCCTACTGGATCACTGCTATCCGCCTGCCAGACAGGAAATGTGCCCTCTCTTTCAGGTCACCCTCCCTTTTGGACCATGCTGGACACTTCCTCTCCAGTGCTTCTTTTAGGCTCTTGACATCCGCCAGATCTTCTTTTCGTCCAGGGGTTCCTCCTCTCAACATACTTCTAGAACATTTCCAAGAACCTGGCTCACTTTACATGACCCTGCTATTTTAGGTTGACTATCTTTATCTTCATCAAAAGACCTATCCCAGTAACCACCCTGGGAGGGTTACTTTGGAAGGTCGAGGACATATATGACCTGAGGATCCTAGAAGGCTGCCCTAGTTTTTTCCTGACCTTTTGCTAAAGTCACTTCTTATCCTAGATCTCGGGGTCTTTTCTGCGTTGAGGTCTCTCTCTGCCCACCAAGTACAAAGAGGACACGAATCTCAGTCTGAGTGACTTACAATATAGAAAAGGGTAACCTTACCTGTCTGTGTAGCTACAGGAGAGCGGTGGTGCTCTAAGTAGCGAGGGGACACCTTTGAATTGGGCTTCTTTTTGCTTCAGTTGGGAGCTATGTGGAAGAGGTAAGATTTGAGCTTAATTTTACTAAAACAAATTTTTTTTTATTGAGGTATAGTTGATTTACAATATAAGTTTCAGGTGTACAACACAGTGATTCACAATTTTTAAAGATTATGCTCCATTTATAGTTGTTATAAAATACTGACTGTATATCCTGCGCTGTATACCATATCCCTGTAGTTTACGTTATACATAGTAGTTTGTACCTCTTAATCCCCTACTCTTATGTTGCCCCTCCCCCCAATTTGAGCTTAATTTTAAAGAATGAGAATAAGGAAGTTTGGCAGCTGGAGGGAAAGGCTACTTTATTAAGTGGGCCAAGAAAAAGTGAAACTGATGGCCCGGGTCCATTCTGACACTTTGAGTCCTGACTGCATGCACAGGCATCATTACTTACCGAGGAAGTCCCAAGACCATGGAGTGTAGAGTCTAAGGTGTTTAGCCACATAATAATGGAAAAGGAGATGTCGTAGATGAGATAGTGTTTTTAAAAAGAGCCGGACAAGCCAGATCAGAAACTTCATTTTGAGAGGAGGCCTGGGGTGAGGTCTAAAGTAGCCTGGGAGGATGCCGGGGAGGCATCAGTGAGAGAAGCCAAGCAAGTCTTACTATATTCCTTAAAGGGTGGGAGCAGGCAAGAGGTATAAACTCATGGCTTCTCATCTCTGCTTGGGGATCTCCTGAAAAATTATACCAGGCAGGTACCTTGATTGGGTTGAAAGATGGCTTGGAACAGCACAGGGCCTGTGTTTTATGGAATGGCTCCTCTTTGCTGTATGGGTTCTGGATCTCAGTCAGGGTTGGGAGAGGAAGTTTGTACTCCCTGAGTATTATCTGGAGAAGGCTCTCTCTGATTTGGAGTCCTCTTCCTTTTTCAGGGCCTGCTTGTTCTGACGGCCCCCAGAAGGGTGCTGAGCCCCAGGAGGGATGGTAGGTAGGCTCTCCTTCACAGCCCATCTTTTGACCTCCTTATACCAGCACCTGTTCCAGCTGGTTTGTTCCCGCAGCTTGTGGTTGGAAGCCAGGCACCTGGGGGCATTATCTCCTTAAGTGATGCTGGTATTCCCGGGCCTGGGAGGGCAGATGTCATCACTCCTGTTTTGCAAGTGAAAAAAGACTTCTTGGAGTTAAGTGGCTTGTCCAAGGTCACAGTGATAGAACCAGAACCCCAGTCCAGATCCTCTGAGAGTGTGGCTGGCCAAACAGCCCTCCCCTGCTGGGAGTAGTTACCCTCAGCTCCCCTGCTCTTCCTTTTTTTTGGGGGGGGCGGGCAGTGGTACGCGGGCCTCTCACTGTTGCGGAGCACAGACTCCGGACGCACAGGCTTAGCGGCCATGGCTCACGGGCCCAGCCGCTCCGCGGCATGTGGGATCTTCCCGGACCGGGGCACGACCCCGCGTCCCCTGCATCGGCAGGCGGACTCTCAACCACTGCGCCACCAGGGAAGCCCCTCTTCCTTTTAATTCATCTTGCAAACAAACCAGGCTAATCTTTCTTTCTTTTAAAGAAATATTTAGTTATTTATTTTGGCTGCACTAGATCTTAGTTGTGGCACGCATGTGGGATCTAATTCCCCAACCAAGGATGGAACCCAGCCCCCTGCACTGGCAGCGTGGAGTCTTACCCACTGGACCACCAGGGAGGTCCTCAGGCTAATCTTTCCAAAATGCCCATTCACCCTGTCATGTAAGAAATAACCTGCGGTTATTCTTCACTGCGATAGGATATATCCATCAACATCTCTCTCCGCACCCCTTAGCTTTAGTTGTATTGTGGGGCGGGAGGTGAAGGTGGGCAAGTGTTTTCCTCCCTATCCAGCCTAACATCTCTTATTTCCTACCTATCCAGCCTCATTCCAAATCTGATTCATCCTCCAGGTTCAGTCTCTGCTCTACACTGACCTCCTTAACCCCATTTATCATTGATACTACTTATTTTTGTTTGGCTTCCAAGCCATCCTGGCCCATCAGGGTTGGTATTTGTGGTGTAGTTCTCTTTAGAGATGCTTTTCAACGATCTTTTCCAATCTCTCCAAGTCTAGTTGAATTTGTCAGCTCCTAGAGGGCAGGGCCAACAGTGTCTGCTTCTTTGATGTCGGGAGGGAGGGGGGGAGAGGGAGAGAGGGGGAGAGAGGGAGAGAATATGTATGTATGTATGTATATGTATGTATGTATGTATGTATATATATATACATATACACACACACATATATATTCTTCTTGGGAGGGGCCTCTGCTCAGGAGGGAACTTGAAATGGTTGAAGCTGCACCTGGAGGCTCCGAAGGAGTGCAGTCTTGAGCAGCAGATGTATGTGCCTGGGAATGAAGGAATTGCTGTACTTTTGAACTCCTCCTCCCCACCCCCCAACCCCGCACCTTGCAAACAGGAAAATGAGACATCCAAGGCTGACCCAGAGTCACCTAGGGGACCCAGGGACTTGGCCAGGAAGTGATTTTCAAAGCCTGAACTCCTCCTCACGCCACGCCGTTTAAGGCAGAGGAGACCACCCCCGGCAACGCTCCCAGTTCCCGTTCTGGAGCGCACCCAGTTCTGTACGGGCGCTTTCTGCCCATCTCTGTGTGCTTTGAGTTTTCCTACGGTTTCCTGGGCCTCTTCGTTCATCTGTAAGCTTTTCCTTTTTTTTTTTTTTTTTTTGGTTGTGCTGCTGAGACTCACTTTTAACAACTTTCTCCTGTCTCTCCCAGACGGCCCGAAAGCTCCTCTCTCCTTTTGCCTGCGCTCCTGGTTCTCTGAGCGCTCGCGCCTTACCTCCGCAGCTGGAGGGCAGCCCCTTCCCTCCCGGTTCTCCTTCCCTCCCCGCGCGTCCCGCGGGCTCCCGGCCTCGCCCCCCGGCTCCGCGCCGGGATCTGGCGGAGTTGGAGGAGAGGGGGCGGGGAAGGCTGGCCGGTTGGAGGGGGCGGGCACCGCCTCCAGCCTGGCCTGGGCGGGGCCCTGAGAACGGGCGGAGGCCCAGCCGCGCCCCCAGGCCCCAGCGCCGGCCCGCGCCCCTCGGACCGAAGGAGAGGGGCTGGCCCACTGCCAGCGTCTGAGAGCCGGCCCCCTCCCCCGGCCCGCTCGCAGCCAACCAGGCACTCCAGCGGGGCCCACGTGACCTGGAGTTCTAGACAAAGAAAATGTTCAATCCCTCCCCCCCACCTCCCCCTCCCCCTCTCTCTGGCCCCCTCCGCCCCCCAGCCCCATCGCCCCCTTCCCCTCCCCCCAGACGGGCAGCTACTTACAGAGCTTCAGGGCTGGGGCTCACACCTGAGCCGGACCACAGAGGGGCTGCACCTGGCCTTATGGGTAGGTTCCTGGATGGAGCCCTGGGGAAACTGGGGGCGGGGAGGCGGCCGGGGCCGGTGGGAGGATCTCTGGGCCTGCAGCCCTCTGGGCTTGAGAAGAGTCAAGTGTGCCTCCCCGGCCCGCAGGAGCTGTGGCTCCCCTGCCTGGCCTGAGTTCCGGAGATACTGAGTTACTGCTGTCCCACCCACTTCCTCCTCAGGAGCCCCAAGCCCCACTCCTTCCTGCGCTCAGGTGGGACCTGGCGGCTCAGGGGCCAGCAAGAGCAGGCCTGGTGTGAGCCTGGGGCAGTGGTCAGCGAAGGCTGGGGGCAGGCCCCGGCCCGTGGAGTTGGGCTAGCAGCGGCGGTTTTGCTGAGCTGGCTGGCAGATGGGTTGTTGGCATTTCCTTGCTGACCTGTGTTCCTGGCTGGTGGACCACGCCGTCCTCAGGCTGTGCCAAGCTTGTGGCCTCTTGAGAGGGGCAGTTTCCTCTCCTGCCTGTTCCTGGGAGCCACCGTCAGGCCGCCAGAAAGAAGTGGTGTCAGGGCGGGAGGGAGCAGTGTGACCCTGACAGGGGGCTGTGGGGTGGCCTGACGCCGGCCTGTGATGGGAGAGGCACCTGGGACAGCCCGGGGTCCGCGTGGGTCCCTGGACCTCTGACCTTTGGAATGGGAAGCAGCCTGAGTCGCAGAGAGACGTGGAGGCGGGACAGCTGCCCGAGGAGATGGGACTGGTTGGGGAGGCCATGCCTCCACCAGAGTGGAGTTACCAGTGGCTCTCCAGGCAGAACAAACTCCAGGCCAAGTGGCCTCCTCGAGCCGCCGTAGTGGGGCTGGTGTGGTGCCTTCCTGATCCTGCCCAGTCTCTTGGCTACTCTGGGGTGGGACCTTCTGAACTGAGGTCGGGGGGAGCCTTTAACCCAAAAGCCCCAGCCCAGAGTTAACCCCTATTTCTCCTGTTGTCCGGGGGGTTGGCATGAACGTGGAAAAGGGGCCTCCCGCACTGCCCTAGGCAAGTCTATTCTAATGAGCCCCTCCCCCACCCAGCCACCCTCTCGCCCCTTCTTCCCCTTTCCTCTTGCCTCCTGCTGCTAACCCCCCCCCTTCCTTCCCCCACCCCTGCTAGCCTTGTCCTGATGGAGGCCCCTTCCTCCCCTGCCTGCCAAACCATGCTGGGTGCGTGTTCTCCTGCACCTACTGGGTTGGGGGCGCTTAACAGCCGTCAGCAGCACCGTCTGACAAGCTGGGGGAAGTTGTGGGGGAAGAATAATGTTCAGGAACTCACTGTGGAGGGGTTGAGAAGAGAGACAAAGGGGCTGAGGGGGAGTGAGGAGGGTGGTGTCAGGCACGACTGCCTTCTAGACTGGGGGAGGCCGGAGGGAGCCCGACGCGCGTGTCCCGGCCCCCCGCCCAGCGCTGCTTGCTGGGATCCTTTCCCCCTGCCGCCTCCTGCCACCTGCGCACCTTGTTCTGGCTGAGGGGGCCTGTCGCCCCTGGAAACTGGGTCTTTTGGCAGAATGGTGCTGCCTTCCACCCAAGGCAGCACCCTGGTCTAGGTCAGTGGCCGTGCCTGAAGTTCACGGAGGCATGGTGGAGGGAAGGGAGCAGAGACTGCTAGGCAGGGCATTTATCCGAGCAGATCTGGCCCTGGGATAGCGCAGCTGCAGCTGACAATTCTGAGAGAGAACCTCTCTCCCCACAGGGTTGAGTGCACACCTAGGCACACCTTGTGGGCGAGGAGCAGGTAGATTTTAGGAAGGGGTGGGGCAGAATCCCCCAGGTGAGGGTGGGGCTTGGGAGGGAGGAGCAGGTCCTCTGCGTTCTTCCAACCCCCCCCCCACCCCCACCCCACCTCGGAGCTCTACTCTCCCAGCTGTTTGTGGGCTGGGGGCAAAGGATGCTTTATCCCATTTTAGAATTTGTTGAGTCAGAGAAAGAACTAAGACTTCCATCCTCGTCTTTTAGGAATGGCCACAAGAAGCAGATTTGGTCTGCGGCCAGGAGGCAAAGACTTGAAGATAGATCAAAATAAAATGAATCTAAGAGACAGGAGACCATTGAGCTGTTCTTAAACTGGGACCTGGGGGTCCATTGACAGGCCTTGGGGAGGCCTCGGAATTCTTGGTACACACATATGTCAGCTTCTCCAACCAGTCAGAAAAGCTTCACAGAAATCCTCCAGTTCAGACTCCTTTTTAGGTGGAGCAGATCAAGGGACTCCTTCACAGTTGGCTGTTAATCAGTTGCGAGGCTAAGACAGGAATATCAATGCTGTGACTTCCAGCTTAGAGGCCTTATACTCCGGGTATCGTGAGGGTGGGTTTGTATTCACAGCTCTAAGCTCTCAGGGAAAGCTTCACGTTGAAGGTGGGATGTTTTTCCCCTTTGAATCTGGTGTGAAAACGGGTGCAGAGCCTTGAAGCTTGAGGGCCACATGTCCTAGATTCAGCCGTTGGGGTGAGATGGGTGAGATTAGGTTGAATGGCCCTCAGTGCTAAGTATCAGGTATTTCATTCTCCTCTGCAGGGTGATGGGAGTACTGGAGCAGGTTTTGAGAAGGAATGGGCATGCAGGTCATAGCCTGAAAGATGAGCATGAGACGGTGAAAGGATGGAGGCTGTTCATGTTGGGAGAATACTTGGGTTTGGATTAATTTGTCAGTGGGATGGCAGAGAGGATGCCTGGCTATACTGTGGACTCCCTAAATAGTTGTTGAAAGAATAAGTGTATTTATGGATCTGAAAGGTGCACGTAGAAAGAAGGCATAGAATCTGGATGTAATCCTGAGAACTCCAGGATGGCATGTGAGCACGGGAGCAGGCAAGCTCTTCTGGGGCTTTTCGTGGTGGTTGAGCAGATGGGGAAGGAACCGTGCGCTCTGAACACAAAACAGTGATTTCTTCGTTACGTATCACAACAAAACTAGAATTGTGGTCTGGAAGCCAAGACCGGGAAGAGAAGGGGTCGATTGCCCAGGGAAACTATGGAGAAAAGGACAAGAGGATCCATTTCTAGATCGGGGGGTGAGATAGGAGAGGCTGGAGCCAAGGTGTGTGCCTAACGGAAGGTGCATGGTTAGTGTCTGCGTAGAATTGATCTCTCCGTATCAGAGGATGGGCAACTGATCACGCTGACGATTGAGGGAGATTAGATGAGGGAGGTCCCCTGAGAGACAGAGAAGGCTGGCATTGAGCCAGGTGACCTGAGCTCACCTCTCAGCTTCACGTCTCTCTGTTTTCCGTGGCAAGCTGGTTGAGTTGATGAGGGAAGAACTCCTCCCTCCAGCCCCTTACCTTCTGTCACTGTCTCCAGACCCCGGAGAGATTGAGAAGAGCCCCTTGAGTATCAGCTCAAGGTAACTTCTGTTCTTTGTTTCCCCAGGCTGAGAAGAAAGCCAAGGTGATTGCAGTAATGAATGCTGTCGAAGAAAACCAGGGGTCCACCGAGTCTCAGAAGGTGGAGGAGGCCAGTCCTCCTGCTGTGCAGCAGCCCACCGACCCCGCATCCCCCACTGTGGCCACCACGCCTGAGCCCGTGGGGGCTGACGCTGGGGACAAGAACGCCGCCAAAGCAGCTGATGATGAACCGGAGTACGAGGTGAGCGGCTGGCTTCACCTGCCTCGTCCAGCTCCTCCCGTCCTGCTCTCTCTACCCGACCCCAGGCCTCTTTGTCTCTCCAGTCTCGCTCTGTCCATTCAGATGGCGCTCCCTCCTGGCTGTCCTGACCCTCAGATGCCCAGGGCTGGGGTTGCTTTGGGGGGAATCAGGGTGGCAGGGCCTCGTGACCGCCATGTAATGACTTCTGCTCCTTGGGGCTCCAGGACGGCCGGGGCTTTGGCATTGGGGAGCTGGTGTGGGGGAAACTGCGGGGCTTCTCCTGGTGGCCAGGCCGCATTGTGTCTTGGTGGATGACGGGCCGGAGCCGAGCAGCAGAAGGCACCCGTTGGGTCATGTGGTTCGGAGATGGCAAGTTCTCAGTGGTGAGTCATGGGGTTTGGCGGTAGCCTGGCAGGGGCGGGCGGGGAGGAAGGGGTCTTGGTCCCGGGGCCTCTGGTTTTGGCTGGGGGCGTGGTTCGGAATTGGGATGGTAGGAGGGGGCTCTGCTCGTCCCCACTCTGTATATGTGTGATTGGAGGAAGCCCTTGAGATCATTAGGTTGCACTCCAAACAAGAGTCGGATGTCTTCCAGGAACCCTGTACCCAGAATTCCCTTCCACCTGCATTCAGGTCCTCCCCGACACCGGGGCTTGGACTCCTCCTTTACGTCATGTAATTATTTACTGGTGCATCCGGTCCTCTTGAGGGCAGAGGCTGGGCCCTAATGCCCCCACCCCTGACCACGCCAGGCAAGTGGTGGGTGCTCGGTGAGTGTGGAAGGAGGAGCAAATGAGGGCGGGTTGTGCCATCAGGTGTGTGTGGAGAAGCTGATGCCGCTGAGCTCCTTCTGCAGCGCCTTCCACCAGGCCACCTACAACAAGCAGCCCATGTACCGCAAGGCCATCTACGAAGTACTCCAGGTCAGTGCCCCTCCGACGGACTCAGCAGGGCGAGCTCAGACGGCAGGGACCACTGTTGGTCTGAAGCTGGAGCACAGGGCTTAGGCCTGGGCAGAGGGTCTGCCTGGGAGGCCCTCGGGCCTCCTTTTCTCCTTACTCGTCCCCTTTCTGCACCTTCTCCCACCTCTCGCCTGAGCCCACCTTCGCTGCTCTCCCCACACGTGTTGCCCTCCAGGTGGCCAGCAGCCGAGCGGGGAAGCTGTTCCCAATGTGCCACGACAACGACGAGAGCGACACTGCCAAGGCCGTGGAGGTGCAGAACAAACAGATGATCGAATGGGCCCTGGGAGGGTTCCAGCCCTCTGGCCCCAAGGGCCTGGAGCCCCCAGAAGGTAAACGCAGGTGCACCAGCAGCTCCGCACCCAGGCTCGGAAAGCCGTGCTTAGGTAGGGCCGTCAGGGCCTCCTCCATCAAGCTTCGCGGTGGGAGTGGCCGCCGTCTCCCTCTCCCTGGGGCCAGGTAGGGCCAGTGCCACTCTGGGACTTTGAACAACCTGCTCCTCCTTGGCTTGCTGGCATCAGAGACTTGGGAGCTAGGAACAAGCTGGGCACCGGGCCGCACCCTGCTACACCTCGTTGTAGGTAGATGGTCCAGGGGAAGAGAGCTGGGATTCCTCGCCAGCCAGTAACCATGACCTCATCACATGCTTTCCCGATCCAGAGGAGAAGAACCCCTACAAAGAAGTTTACACAGACATGTGGGTTGAACCCGAGGCAGCTGCCTATGCACCGCCCCCACCAGCCAAAAAGCCCCGAAAGAGCACAACTGAAAAGCCCAAGGTCAAGGAGATAATTGATGAACGCACAAGAGGTAGTTGGCCTGGCTCTGGAGAGAGCGGCAGGGTGAGGCCGGCGTTCAGAGGAATGGGCATGACCCTCGAGGCCTCCTCTGACGCCGGGCTCTCTTCCCCTCTGCAGAGCGGCTGGTGTACGAGGTGCGGCAGAAGTGCCGGAACATCGAGGGTGAGTCCTGAGGGGGCAGCTGGGCCTTGGCCCTGGGAAGTCAATTGTCTGTTCCACTTGGGCCCTAAGGTGGTGGCCGGCACAGAGTACTGTAGGTACCGAGGAAGGTACGATGCCGTGGGACATCAGTACTTAGTGACAGGATGTGTCCTTCGTGTCCCACCACCTCCAGCCTGCTTGACACACACATCTATCTTCCGCTGCCACCATCTTTCCTGTCGGTGGTGGGAACTGGTCATTAGGGTTTGGGACACTCCAGTGGGTCAGATAAGGGTGGCCTCTCTTGGATCTGAACTTGCCCGTCTACCTTTCCTCAACTTCTCTCATCTGGGGGTCATTAGTGCATCCCATATCTGTCTCCCTTGGCCTAGTGATGGTCCAGCTCGGGGCCCTCAGGGCCAGGAAGGATGAGGGCAGGGGCCTAGACCTTAAGGGTTGACTGCCCAAGGACATCTCCACAGGGTCAGGCCCTGTTCTCACAAGCGGGTTCTTAACCCTCGTAGTATGCCTTTCCTGGAAGGCGGCATTGCTGCTCAGGGAGATGAGTGGGCTCCTGAGATTGGGGCCACACTGCCTCCCTGTTCCATGGGGCCCCTCCCAGACTCTTTCCTGCCTTCTTTTCTGGCTGCTGCTCCAGCACGCCCCTTGTTATAGCTTTTCTGGAGCCGGGCTTTGGCCCAAGCGGAGAGGGGGCCCTTCTGTGACACTCACTCTGCTTCCTCTGCTTCCCAGACATTTGCATCTCTTGTGGAAGCCTCAACGTCACCCTGGAACACCCTCTTTTCATCGGAGGAATGTGCCAAAACTGCAAGGTAGGGGCACACCCAGCAGAGACGAGGCCCCTGGCTGACCACACCTCCTGGCCTCTGGGCTGTAGGCACCTGGGATAGCTGTGAGGGTGACTCCGAGGTTTGCTCTTGAAGCGGAGTCCTGATAAAATGGATCCTTGGGTTTCAAGCGTTTGACTTGCTGCTGCTTTTCCTCTGAGAGATCCTTGCCCCCTCTAAAGCCCCATTCACGTCCCCAGATGTGGGCTCACAGTGTCACAGTCACTAGTGTGAAGTGGGCGTGGACAGGCTCATGGGTGGGTCGCTGTGCCCTGGGCGCGGGGGACCACAAGGCGGTGCAGGCCTTCTTTTCCAGGTCTTCGCACGCGCCTCTCCTTGGTTTGTCCACTGCAGTGGGGAGACATGGTGTGCCCTTCCCAGATCTGTGGTCTGGGCTGGACCCTGGCTGGATGGGTGGCGGGGTCGTGTCTCCAGGGCTCTGTGACGAGGTTTCAGGACCAAAGCCCAGAGGCTGGGTTCATAGCCTGCCTTCACCGTGGCTGGCCTGGGTGCTGCCCGGTGGTCTCTGAGCCCCCGCCGTGCTCCCTAGAACTGCTTCCTGGAGTGCGCGTACCAGTATGATGATGACGGCTATCAGTCCTACTGCACCATCTGCTGCGGGGGGCGCGAGGTGCTCATGTGCGGGAACAACAATTGCTGCAGGTGAGGCCCCGCCCCCGCGCGTAGTGGCCCTCCCTCTTTGCCCTGCACTGCGGCCACACTCCATCCGGGACTGGCCTTGGGGTGAGAGTCCCCTCCGCTCCACTGGGCTTCCTTCCAGGTGCTTTTGCGTTGAGTGTGTGGATCTCTTGGTGGGGCCGGGAGCTGCGCAGGCAGCCATTAAGGAAGACCCCTGGAACTGCTACATGTGCGGGCACAAGGGCACCTACGGGCTGCTGCGGCGGCGAGAAGACTGGCCCTCTCGGCTCCAGATGTTCTTCGCTAATAACCACGACCAGGAATTCGTGAGTGCTGGGCCGAGGGTGGCTCTCCTCACCCCCCGCCTGCCAAAGCCAGAGGGCAGACTCCACCAGAGTGAGAGCGCTTCGGTTGGTCGGGGGCCTGGGCGCCGGGCAGCGGGGCCTGAGCTGCGAGCGGGCTGTGCAGGTCTGGAAATCCCAAGCGCTCACAGTTGGCCGGGAGGCCAGCCCCGCGTGCGGGTCTGTAGGACACTCCTGGACACTCACCTGGCCTGTTGTGCTGGCTGCCTAGGACCCTCCGAAGGTTTACCCACCTGTCCCAGCCGAGAAGAGGAAGCCTATCCGGGTGCTGTCTCTGTTTGATGGAATCGCTACAGGTGAGAGTCATTGACATCTTCGTCCTGGGACGTGGGAGCTGGGCTCAGGGGACTGTGTGCGCGTAACTTTGGCAAAACAGAGTGACAGTTAACGTTACAACTGTTAAAATATTACCGTAAGGAGGAAACTTCTGTGTTCAATGAAAAGTAAAACCAAACCAGTGGTAAACCAGCATGTTTGGTGGGCATTCCCTTACTGGGGACGTGAGGCCGGGGTCGGGGGGGGGGGGGGGGGAAGGGG